GGGGGGGGGGGTGCGGTGCATGCGATCGCAGACACAGCTGTTCCTTGGTGCAGCCACTCGCATCTAGAATCCAAGAAGAGCCCGAAGGAGCTTTCTGTTGTGGGGCTACAGTTTAGTGTGCTCGTTCCGGTTTAGAGTTCAGGGCTTCTGGTAGTCGTCTGTTTCGGTCCCGCGGTTTTGCGGAACCCCCGCCCAACCACAAGCCTTAGCGGAACCTCGGGCCAGCGACAAGCCCAAAGCCCCCGACACCGCAACTCCGAAGCCCAACGTGGCAGAGAAGTATAAGAACTAGCTGTAGCGATCAGTACAGCTATTATATACAATATTCAGAGCAACAATAAGCATAGCAACAATAACGATAGCAATAACAATAAAAAGTAAGAGTAGTACTGATGATAATAGTTTTTAACGGTATCAACGGCAATAACAGTAACAGTAGCAGAGGCAGTAACAACAACAATAAAAGTAATGAGACAACAGTAGCAGTAACAAGCAATCCCCTAACAAACCGGCGAACGCCGAGCTGCTCTCGTGTGTTCGAGTCCACAGGACACGCTGGATGCCATGGACCGCTGTCTGGGTACCTCGGAGATCTTGGCCCAGAAATGACGGCGTTTTTTTGTTCGTGCCTTGCTCGTCTTCCTGTTGCCCTTCTGTTCATGAATACCATGGTATTTCTGCTATCACAAGTCGTGTTGCAACTGCCAATGCTGCCGCTAGTGCTACTGCTGCCGGTGCTGCGGTTGCCAGCTGGCAACGGTAGCTGAGCAACAGACTACGCCTAAACCGCACTCAGCCCTAAGCTTCAAAGTCTCCTGAATCCCAAAACCAAAAAGTTCCTAAGCCCTAAACTGCTTGGTTTAGTGGTTCTTGCCCATCGCTGGAAGGCAAAGCCAGGCTTCCTGCGATGCTTCAGGTGCCTCCGCCTGGATTCATTGTTTTGGTTTCAGGGGTGTAGGGTGTTCAAGGGTTTGGGAGTTGGGCTTTAGAGTCTAGGAGTTGGAAGTTATTTCTGTTCTCAGGTTTTCTACAAGGCACAACCTCTGGACGAAGTACTCACTTCTGAACCCTCAACAGGATCCCTGTAGTAACTCTTACAGTAACACTTATGGTAATCCTTGTAGTATCCCTATGGCAGCCGTTTTGTCACCCGATAGAACCCCTATAAACACCTCCAGCGACTCTCAAACCCAAAACCTAAAGCCTGAACCCCAAACCCTCAACCCTGAACCCTGAACCCTAAACCCTAAACCAGAGTACTCCCTGTGTTTTGAGGCTCCAAATGGAGCACAGGAGGCCCAGGCGGGCGACGCAGCTGGCGTAGGCTCGGCCACTTGGGCAATATAAGGTTTCTCTTACGGTTTTGTAGGGCTTTACACGATTTCATATACTGGGGTCTAGAGGTCCTTTACCAGGGTTTCTTGGCTTCAGTTGTTTTGGTTCCCGGTAAACTTTGAGTATGAAGTTTATCGCGCTTTTATCAAAGGACAACTTTGCTGGCAGTTCCATTAAAGTCTCATGTGAGCCCTGCTTTTCTTTCGCTTACGGTTATCCTTAGCAGACTGCTACCCTGAGCACATCTTTTTTGTTACCGATTATGTTTCTTAACCATGAAGATGATAGTTAGTATCACTGTTGCCCATCATCACCGTCATCATCATCATCATCATCATCACCACCCTAAACCCTAAACCCTAAACCCTAAACCCTAAACCCTAAACCTTAAACCCTAAACCCTAAACGGCAGGGGCGGATGCCGCCTCCGAGCGTTTGCTGGAAGCCGGGAGCTTGGCCTCGGTATGATATGGTGTAAGTTTGGGTTTAGGGTTTAGGGTTTAGGGTTTAGGGTTCATGGGTAGTTAAAAGAGGAGTTGTAAGTCCCCCGAATATGGGTTCTAATTGCTTACTTCTGTAGGTAGTACCAGGGAAAAGGGTCCCTAAACCCTAAACCATAACTCACAAAGCCCGAAATGGGTAGTTTTCGAAATTAGGGTATCTGTTGGGGCCTTTTTTATAAGCGTGATGTACTATATTGGGGACCTAAACAGGGACCCTAATTTAGAGAACTACCCATATGGTGTAATTTTGGTGTATACTTATGTAGGTAGATCGGTCGAACGATAGATGGGTGGGTGGATAGATGGACAGACGGATCGGTAGACAGATAGATCGACGTACGGTTTACGGTTTGTTTTTGGGTTTGCTACGGGGTGTAGAGGGTTTCGGGTTTAGGATTGCAAAGAGGTGAAGTTGGGGGTTGGGGATTATAAGGGGTAGTTGGGGTTTTTAGGGTCTACATAAAGGAGGGGTAGGTGATGTGGGATGAGCCAGGTTTTAGGGTTCAGGGGCTCAGAATTTCGTGGCTTATGTGTGGGGGTGCAGGGTTGTAGTGTTCAGGATATAGGGTTCAGTAGGTGCCGAAAAGCAAGATTGTGGCTTTCTGTGCACGCAACTGGAGGGGCACACCGAGCTGGCTGTCGTCAAGGCCTTGCTGGGGTAGGTTTCGCTCCGACAGACAGAATGCTGGCCCAGGTGTATATTAGTAAAACCCACTACACTGTGTCACTACATATGCAGACGTTGAAAGGGATGCACGCAGCGAGCATATATATATATATATGTATAATGTATAATATTATATATATATACATTGGCATGTGCATACATATGCACATGTGTATATATGTGTGTGTGTGTATACGCATGTATGTATGTATGCATGTATGTACATGTGTCGGTCTGTCTATCTACCTATCTATCTATCTATCTTTCTTTCTATCTATCCATCTATCTGCTTACGTACCCTAACCCAAGCTATCTTATCCTATCCACGTATCTATCCATCCATCTATCCATCTATCCATCTTTGCATTTATCTATCTATCTATCTGTCTGTCTATCGATCTATCTGTCTATCTATCTATCTATCTATCTATCTATCTATCTATGTATCTATACACACATACATACATAAATACATACATACATACATACATACATACATACATACATACATACGTACATACATATGGGGGTTTCCGAAAATAGGGGACCCTAATATAGTACCCTAATTAATAGGGTCCCTATTATAAGGACCCCAAAATAAGGTACCCTAATTTTTTGAAACTCCCATATGTAGGCACATATGTACGTACGTACACACATCGTCACACACATCGGCTGCACTATGCCAGGCACTCCGGGAGTTTGATGATGGGAACAAGGAGAGACCGGCTTGTGAAATGGAGAGGGGGTAGGGTTCTACAACGGTTGCGTAGGGTTCTACAGCGACGGTGTGAGGCGCGCGAAGTGTTTTTGCACTCGAGAGAATCCTACATCATCCCAGGCCCCCCCCCCCCCAATATTCTGAAACGTCCTGAAATGCGTGGGAGGATGCTTTCTTTGATCTCTGGAAGCACCTCGTTGCCCCTGACTCCGCGAACGGCTCCTTGGGGAACCCCTGGCCTCTTTCGCTCGGAGCTGCGGGGAGCTCGAGCCACATGGATAAGCTGTGGTCACAAGTACCAGTAGACGTGGTTGTGGTCGTGGTGGTGGCGGTGGCAGTCGTAGCAGTGGTCGTATTCCTCGTAGTCGTAGAAGTCCTTGCAGTAGTAGCAGCAGTAGGAGTAGCAGTAGTGGTAGAAGTAGTAATAACAGGAGGAGTAGGAGTAGGCATGGTAGTGGCAGCTACACCTGCAAAAAGTATCCAGCAGCAACTAGGAAGGGAACTAACTGCAATGCAGAGCAATGGCAAACCGACGACCATGAAAAGAACGAGACTCAAGCCTTTTCGAATCATGGTCGGAGAATGACAGTGCGGCTCATTCATCACAGCAGTGATTAGTAGCAGAACACAGCAGCAGTGTAACTGTATTCGTAGCGAGGCAAACTCTCGAGAAAAGCATTTAATCAGAAGCGCAGCGAAATCATTGATACCGAGAACACGTGCAATGTTAGCAGGTGCTGGTTCTCACTTGTAAGGATGCTGTCGATGAGTTGGTGTAATCAGCAGACCACGATTGTGTGTACAGTCGCGCGGACGTGCTCCCAATCCCAAGCCCACATCTTACAAGCCTCAACCCTTAGCGATTGCACCGCTAATAGCCCTCAGTTCTAGATTCTAGATACTATATGTTACACACCATTCGTAGAGCAGCCAGGTGTTCCTTGGAACTTCGGCTGCACGTCTACTTTGGCACCTATTCGACCAGGAAGGCATCAACAACAAGGGGTGTTTTTCAAGGGGTGGGGGGTAGGGCTGCGTGGCTAGACATAGCGCGGATATTTCAGCTCCTACAATGCCTCTCATGACGACGATGATAAAAGCAACGAAGCTATGTTGTGCTTCTCCACATGTCAAAACCTCTAAAAACAGAGAAAGTAATCAATAACAAGCCCTGACAGGAGTCCTTATAGTAGCCCTTGTACTAACCCCGATTTTACTCCGGAAGCCGTTGCCTCCTTGTGTTTGCAAGCCCGATGTTTGGAGGCGCTCGAGGATGCAGGGAAGCTCGGAGAGCTCATCGTTTGAGGGTGACTACCACAAGGATGGCTACAAGGGTTACCACAAGCCCTAAAAGTGTCTGAAAGTATCGCCACGAGGATTGTTACACGTATTTCTACAAGGGTTACTAAAAGAGTTGCTATAAGGGTTACCTTTGGCTGAATCAGCGAGGACGACGAACTAAGCATCAGTTTTCGCTCTCCAACTCCTTAAGACTGTGATTGCTTGTCCTGTGGCCAACGATCAAGGCTGTTGAGGGTTTAGGGTCAAGGCCTCCAAGACTCTACGGCTGTCGCAAAAAGCGGAACATCGCCTGGCCAACGCGCCCAAAGCCAAGCCCAATCCCTGAACAGCATCTCTCAGCGCAGCCTAAGCCAAAGCCTGAAACCAGGAAGGCCTGAGCCTTGAATTTCGGCTTAGAGCATACTTGGAGGTTCATGGGTAGTTACAAATGGAGTCATAAGTCCCCTACTATGGGTTATAGTCACAGTTACCCTACTTATAACCCCACTTATAACTACCCATGAACCTCCAAGTACCTCCTGTGCCTGTCCCCGCCTCTCAACCCTAAACCCTAAACCCCTAAACCCTAAACCCTAAACCCCTAAACCCTAAACCCTAAACCCTAAACCCTAAAACCCTAAACCCTAAACGATTCGTCTTGGCCACTCTGAGGCTGCGGGCAAGGAGCAGCCGGCTGGATCGCCCAGTCTGTGCCAGACTCGGCGTCTAGAGCTCATAGGACCCAAAGGTCCTACAGCAAGGCACTATCAATTCCG